GGGGAATTCTGGGAGTTGAAGTCCACACATCTTCAAGTCACCAAGGTTGAGGAACCCTGTGGTAGGAGACTTAGCTGAAAGGGTTTAATGCTGTCTCTGGAAACTTTGGCCAACTTAATTGACTGCTCCCCAATGGAGAGGAATTCTTTATGCTCTTGGCTCTGCTGTCTTTCCAGAAGGGGTGGGATCCTGGATACTCTACATAGCATGTATTGCATTATCTACATGGGGGAAATCCTCCGGGCAGCACCAGAGCAGAGCACAGAAAGAGGGAGAGGGTTTCTTGCAGTCTGATCAGGATGCTGTTGTATAAAGGTTGTTTGCTGTGAGTAAGTTGGAATTCATTTAGTTGAGTTGCATGGTGTAGCGGGCAAAAGAAAGCTGGGTAGGTGGATAAATGCAGGGTATGTCTCTTGTGTGGGAAAGAGCTAGTTGCTAATATTAGTTGTTAATATTAAGCTGTAAATGCAAAGATATACAGTGCTGCTTTGGGCTGTTTGTTAAGCATTTTGGGGAGTGTATCTTATGCTCACTTTAGCATAGAGTGCAAATTTTGATCTTCCAGACTCCATTAGAGAATGTTGAGGTTTTGAGTGGCATCTGCTGTATCTTTCCTTTTCGATGGCTTTCTCCACCAGAGGAGTACTTTATTGCTATAATTTATTCATGCAAGATTTAAGTAAACAGTAGTAGTTTTTCAGAATTTAAAAAAAACACACAATGGAAACATATGTAGAAGCTAGCAGCAGCCACACACATTATGAATGGTGCTACTGAAAAACTATTAAAGAATTCAGTCTCTTTTTATCTCATAATTTACTCTCTTAACAACCCAGAGGATTTATTTAAAGAAAATGAGAAGGTCTTTATTCATCAAGAGGAGGGCTTTTCTGGTAACAAGATCTGACAATTAAGTAATTGGTCTTGTATTTTTCCCAAACCAGTGCTTCCCTGTGAGGATCTTTTCCTTACTCTAAAAAAAAATCTTTCCCATGTTTCCTGTGGCTGGAACATTCAAAACATTTCACTTTTCCCCCAATGGAATATGAAATACATCAGCTGTTTCAAGTTTTGTTTTGTCAGTATGCTCAGGTTGTTAATTTTCAGCTTCAAAAAATTATAGCAGTAATAGTTTTAGAGAGCCAGTTTGATGTAGTCATTAAAAGCACCGGGCTACAAACAAGCAGATTGTGAGTTCTAAACCTGCCTTAGGCAGGAAGTCAACTGGGTGAATTTCAGCCTGTCTCCCTCAGCCCTAAGGAGAAGGGAAGGTCAAATCACTTCTGAAAACTTTGCCAAGAAAAATGTAGGGACTTGTCCAAATATTTGCCAGGAGTCAAGACTGACTCAAAGGCATAAAAAGGTAATGGTTTTATTTATCCATTTTGTCCACTACTACTGTATATCCTGAAATCATCATGTATCTAAACTGGAAAGTAAGAACTTTTGCATTTCTTGAACTGTTCTCAAGTAACTTACCAAAGGAGCTGTGGAAGGGTTTCCATGTGTTAAGAAGCCGCTGGTTTCCTAAATTTATAGTCCTAATTCTTAACAGCCAGTGATAGCCCCCCATTAGTTTGCCTAATATTTTAAAGTTGGTGAAAGGGAATCCCATTACTGAAGTCCTTCCTTTTGTTCTGCCCAAGTTTCAGCATCTTTAGAAGACCCCACTGAGTTCTGATATGATAGGAAGTAGCAAAACTACTCAGAGTGCTTATGATTGAGTTGGTATTCAAAAAATGTAAAACAAATAATAAAAATTTTCTTCCTCATCATCATTTTCTCCTTACCATGGATAATTTTCCTTTGGTACTTTTGTAGTTCTTTGTGGTCCATTTTTGTTTTAAAAATCCTAAATAATTGGGTTATAAGCAAACTTGGTCTCCTTGCTGCTAATTTTTAGTTGCCAATCCATTAGGAACAAGTTTTTAAAAACTGCTGGGTCTTCTTTGGTAGAAAAGCCTCTTATTAACTGTTTATTTAAATTCATGGCAGTTTTATGTATGGATTAAATTTAGTAAGATTGTGAACCCCCACCCTTTCTTTTATAGCCCCAGATTCCACAAGATTACCTTGTTGTGTTATGATAGTACAATTTTCTGCTTCAGGGCAGTGGTGGATAAAATTAAGCATTCTGACCAATGCCTTTAGTGACTTAAGTTTAATGTATTCTATTATTTTAAAACAACAAAACAAAATAAAACTTCTCAGAGCCACCTCAAATAGAACAAGATTGCTGGAAATTTGTCTCTTTCCTTGTTGGTTATGTTACTGCATCACTGCTGCGCCCTTGCAGTCCTTAAAGGCTTAAAACAGCACTGCTGAAAAATTAGCCACCCCAGCGGTCGTCAGCCAGAAGGTACACCTTAAGCCAGGGGTGGGCAACATGTTGCCATCCGGATGTTGGACTGCAGCCTCTGTCATTTGTCATAGTGGCTAAGGCCGTTGGAAGGTTAGGCATTCAGCAACATCTGAAGAGGGACTTATTGCCAGTCCTATATTAAGGCAAACGTAGCCAGCATTACTGAATCACAGGCTGCATTTCCTTCGGGTGCAAATACAGTACGTGGCCAGGGCTGGAATTGGCAGGTATCTACCTATGCCTTAATTTCCTGGCAATTGGCATGTGTTCTTCCAACCACTTCTCTTAATCTAAAATTAATTTGAAAGAAGAGGATCTCTTTATTTTTGCCCATTACAATGATGGGTTTTACGGTTTTTCTACAATTTGGTATACTAACTTAGCTGATAATTGTTTAAAGAGTACTATCGCGCATCCATTTCACTTTAGAAACATGTCCTTGTGATCGAAAACTCACCAGCCAGTTAATTCAGCATTCGTTAGCATACAGTGTATAACTGTAGCCTTTGCTCTACCATGCAGGAGCGGCGTGTGGCAGCCAAGCAGCTTGAGATGCAGAATAAACTTTGGGTGAAAGATGAGAAACTAAAGCAGCTAAAAGCCATTGTCACGGAACCTAAGGGTAACAAACCTGAGCGACCTTCACGAGAAAAGGATCGGGAGAAAGCTCTGCAAAGATCGTTGTCGCCTCCCCCAGTGCCTGTAAGCTTCTTTTGATGCCAAACGTGCACTTGTGTCTCTCTGTGCGCATTCACACACTCACCACTCTGGCAAGTGAATCAGAGGAGTCAAACTACTGCGGCTGGGACTCTGTAGTTCGGCCAGGGGAATTCTCTGTGAGCTACCTGAGTTCCTTGAATTGACTCTGAATCTTTCTTTAGTGCATGTTTTCTCTTTCTAAATCTGCTTAGTGTAGAGTGGAAGGACATGGGGCTGAATTCCTATGAAGATTTTGTGGTGGTTTCTTTTCTCTGTGCCTTGTTTGCTAACTGCACCTTTCTTCAGTTTTCTAGTAACTGTATCACTCACCTGCCTAACAACCATGATCTGCCTGCCAGAAGCCAGCCACAGCTGCACAGGCGTTCCAATTCTTGTAGCAGCATTTCGGTGGCTTCCTGCATCTCGGAGTGGGAGCAGAGAACACCTACACAGCACAGCAAGCCTCCTGGCAGGGGTGACAATGGCCTCCCCAGAGCCAGAAGTAGACTCCAGGAGCCAGAGCAAGCCAGGCCCTGGGTTATGTCCGAGAGAAGGCGGGGCATGTGCTGGACAGGAGTCCTGGCAGCCTCCAGCACTAGAGGGCCCCTAGAGCTAGAAGAGGACTTGTGCTGCAGGGTTAGTGCTATATCTCAGCTGTGGTGGCCCCTGAGTGAATGGCTGGTGATTGCGGGCACTGCCATTGCTGAGAAACACACCTCACCGTAGGGGGAGCTGTAGTCAGAAAGCAAGAGAACGTCTGTCGTTGGCAGAACGGTGGATTCTAGAAGACAGAAAGGCTACCCCAAACTAGCCTCTTGCTGCGCCAGACCAGCTTTGTACCTGGTGGCCTTCAAGGTGCTCCATCAGCACTGAATGGTGGTCCTATGAGGTGTCATTTGGACGCTGTCTGGATGTCTTCACATTAACTGACTTTTTTGGATCATACTTGTTTACACAGCAAGCCTTTAAATGTGGGTAACTGGGTTGAAGTAAAGTAAGTAGAAACTGGTAAACTAAACCTCAGATTACTTTGGAACTCCAAAGAAATTCTGGTACCCAGAAGGGATGGCCTTAGTGGCTAGGATGGATTCCTTAGGCCTGAGGGCGTTCATGGCTTTGCAGCTTGGGAACTGCTCACCATTTCCTGGCCTTTTTTCTGTGCTCATAATCATTGTACCTAGGGAGTGCTCGGCTTTATATCTGATGCGTGTGCACAGGCTGATCTTCTCCAGTGGCTGGGGGATGCAAGGTTCCCTTGACAGGCCAGAAGGAAAAAGCAGGACCTTTAGGGTCTGGCTCAGAAATCTACACTCCTTGCTCTGTTGTGGCTTCCAGTGTCTCTGATTTCGCCCACTGAAGCCTGCGAGGATCTTAAACTACTCGCCCAAACTTACTGGTAGAGGGCTTCAGGTAATCTGCAGTTATCTACAGTGTGTGTTTGTCTTTCCTCTTCTTATAACAAGAAAAATAATTATATAGGAAGTGCATGTAGTGTATCAATAGCAAATCTTAAATGTTGGGAATTAAAAGAAATATCTTGCCCAACCATTGATTAAGCCCTGGAAGATGTACTTCCCAGGGATAAGCTTAGGAAACCCCTACTAATTTTATAAAATTCCTTTTGTGACCCCTCAGAACGCTCCTCCTGTTCGCCTTCGCCACAGGCGCTCTCGCTCAGCAGGGGAGAGGTGGGTGGACCATAAACCTCCTTCCAATGTCCAGACTGAGACAGTCATGCAGCCACATGTCCCCCATGCCATCATGGTAACCTCTGCAAATGAGAAGGCACTGGCAAAGTGTGACAAGTACATGTTGACTCACCAGGAGCTGGCATCTGATGGGGAGATTGAGACAAAACTGATCAAGGTAAGACTGACCTTACCTTGAGGTAGGGGGACTTTTGTTAGAGGTCTGTCCTCCTGGGAGCATTCTGTGCTGTACATCAGGTTTCTCAGGAAGTCCTCCAAAAAAACAGGCTTGTCGACTACAAAATAGATAGGTTTGTTTTTTGCTACCATAATTCTCCACATTGTGACCGGGAATGTTTTTCTACAATTCCTGGGGCTGTTGGGTGGAGGTGCTAAACTGGGACAAGACTGAGCCAATTGTATAATTTGTTACTCAGGTCTGTAGGCAAGTAGTGGTGGAAACCTAGTGGAGCTCATAGATCTGCCTTTTGACCTTGTCTATGGGCTTTATTCCTGTGAAATGCATATAATTTAGCTGGTCTGGATGCCTTTTCTTCTAGCTTTATCTACATACGTATAAAAATAAAGCCTAGCAAAACTGGCTCATTACAGTGTCAGTTGTGCCAGTAAAAAATTCTCTGTTCGGACCCTTAAACAGATTTTGTTTTCAGGGTGATGTTTTCAAGACCAGGGGAGGTGGACAGGCTGTTCAATTCACTGAAATAGAGACCCTGAAGCAAGAGTCACCAACAGGGTGAGTCACTCTCAGCTCAAACGGGTTCTTGCCCTTTCATGTCTCAGATCAGTGTGAGTAGAAACTGATGAGATTCCTGGGTATTAGTGAAGTTGGTGACAAGGCCCTGGCCTTATGTGTGTGAATGAGTAAACTGGGTCCTTGCAGAGAAGGCCAAGAATAAACTGGGTTTATTCTGCTCATGGATACATACAATTATAAAAATGCAGAGTAAGCAAATGAAATTACAGGTTGGAAATATCCCAAGGCTGATATTAACTCCCCCTCTTAGCCTACGTCTGGGTACTTTCAGGCAGGAGATGGACCTCAGAATTTTCAGTCCTACCTCTGAACTGGTTCAAACCTTAACAACTTTCTCCTTTTCTGTACCTAACACGTTGACCGTTCCAGTCGCAAGCGGCGATCCTCTCCCTCAAGCGCTCACCTGCCCGAGGAGGCCTCAGAGTCGGAATGGACTGATGTAGAAACACGAGTAAGTCAGGAGTGCCTTTGGCGGGGGGCGGGGTGGATGCTCCCGGTCCCTTCTTGATGCTCGCCTGCCTCTCTTTGGCCAGTGCTCAGTCGCAGTGGAGATGAAGGCAGGTTCCCACCTTGGACCTGGCTATCAACATCACGCTCAGCCCAAGTAAGTCTCTCTCTTCCCTCTCATTCCGAAAACTGTCTTTAGGGTTCCTGAGTGAGGCCGAGTAACTGACTAGGTTTGGAAGCTGAAGTGATGGATGCTGGAAAGGGGGAAGAGCTGGTGTTCAGGACTGAAAATAGGCTTCACTATTGAGGTTTGGCCTCTTGCAGATAAGTGCTGGCTGTGCCGCGGAAGTGATCTGTTCAGCTCAGGGAAGAACACTGACAATTGTGCAAGACATGTTAACAGGCAGGAAAGAGGGCATCAGAGGTAAAAAGAGGTCAACCCAAGTTCTTTAAAGTAAAAGGCAACCGTCAGAATTCAGGCAAACCTGCAAGTTAGCTGTTTTCTAGCTACAGGGAGGGCGTGATACTGAAACCTGCTTGTCCTCTGTGCAACTCTCCCCAGTGGCTCCTTTCACTTTATTATGTAGCTTTTTGGGCTTTAAGTCACTCTGGGATGCTGACTCCTCTTGGCACGTTGCTCCATTTGTCCAGCTATGGCATTGGGGAAATGCTCACAGAACATGGGGCAGCAGTGGAGAGGACTGTGGGTGACCAAACGCTGAGGAACAGTGCCTCTCCTCTGGGGGAAGAGAGTCACGTGCCAGGGGGCTGCAAAGTTGCTCTGGGAATTGAAAAACTTCCCAGGATCACTGCTGGGAGGGTTCTCCTATAAGTGCCTGTTTCTATCCACTGTTAAGCTCTCTGTCAGTTGTACTGGATTGTAGGCTTCTTGACCATGACTGGGGATAACGGTCTTGTCCTTTCTTTGCAGACGCAGGAAACCATGAAGCTTTGGGATTTCTGCTGGGGCGGCTTAGTCAAATAAAGTTTCAGGCTACATAGCTGGCTATGCTAGACAATGACAAAAGGGAAATTAAATAAAAAGTGCCTCTCTTGACCCTCATCTATATCATGGCTTTGAGGAAGATGGTGTCATTTTATTATTATATGCATTTCTCTGACTCCTTATAAGAAGGTTCTTGCTCCCTTTTTCTTCTCATACCTCAACACTTCTTTCCATGCTGATTTTTAAGGGATGATGTATTAAACGTGTTGCTATTTATTTAGCTGTCATCATGCACTTTAGAATCTCTGGGTAGTGTTTTGAATTTTGCTTTTAGAAACAGCTGTCTTCTGAGTTTCCATTAAAACTGCAGTGCTTTCCCCAGGAATGTTTGTATACAGGAGACAGCTGGACAGTAGACAGGAAATTTTACAACTTTGTTTCCTGCCATATAGTTGGAGTAATAGGTAACGTTCCTTGCTATACAGAATTTTAGTGTATCAGATGATTAGACAACTATGTAGTAACAGGTCTATAGCTGTTGTGATTTCTTCAACTGAATTTGCAAATAAAAAATTCATTCATAGCTTCCTACGTTCGGTGCCCTTTCTGATCTGCCCTGGCCATATTAAGAGGAAGCCCAGCAACACCATTATAGGCCATCAGAACAAACAGCTAAACACATTAAATCAGATGGACAGCCCAGACTGAAATGATCTATAAAACAAAACAGGGACCTTAGGCAAATAATAAACATCAACCCCAGGCCTGGGACCAAAGCCAAGTTTTCAAAGCTTTCTGGAACCTTAGAAGAGAGGGTGCCATCCTTATCTCACGGGGGGTTAAGGATGTTCCAGAGGGTGGGGACCGCAACAGAGAAGGCACGCTTCCTTGGTCCCACAAGAAGACAAAGCTGTAGGGAGGGGACCTGGAGCATACTGGGTGGGCAAAAACAGTTGGAGACCGTCTCAGATATCCAGGCCCTATGGCATATAGCGCTTTAATATTCAGCACCTTATCTCCAAGTTGGGACAGACAATATGGACAGATGTATGTTTCACTTCTCTCTCTTGCTGGAGAGACAATCATTGGCCAAATCTTGGAAACTGGAAATCCATTAAACCGCATCACAAGATGGAGCCTTTCACTTATCCCCCATGAGATGGAAAAAGGGGAAGGGCAACCATTAGTCATATAGAGGCTGCACTGAGGGATCATATTAAATGATAGGTATTACACTGGTTGCTTCAACTTACACTAAAAGTGCAGCCATAGCTATGGTGACCAAGGCATTGAAAGCAAAATCTGAAATCAAGAGACTTCCCCTGAGCTCCCAGTAAGTGAAAAACAACTTGAGGCCAGACTTTTGGCAGTGATCTATGGTCCACCTAATGTAGAGAATGGAAATCAAAGTTCTCTACTGCTTTGTCTTGAGAGACAACAGATGGCCTAACTGAAGAGACTGCCAATTTGGAAGCATGGCACAAAATGGAGTCTTGTTGCTCCCATCTCAGTAAAAGGAGATCAGGTAACCCTTAGCGATAAATAGAGGGTGCACAAAGGAATCTTTCATCATCAAGCATACTCTGCCTCAGTCTCACTTGAACTCACTTGTAGTTGAATCTCAACTACAGACCGCAGATTAGCAGCTACTGTTGGGTGTCCTAGAGAGAATATGAAAGATTTCCATTTTTCCCCATCCGCCTCAGAGAAAACAAGGAGCCAAATGCTGCTGATCCATTGTCTGCCTAATGCAGACAATTTGGAAATGAAAGGGGCTTGACTGATCTCTTTCACTTGATAGAGACAAATGGTGAAACTATAGTGACTGTCATTTACTAAGCTTGTCTCAAAGTGGAGTCATTCGCTAAACTTTAACCTCTAAGTTCAAGACAAAAGACCCCTTCCCAATCCCTAGGCAGTCCATTACTGATCCCTGGTTTGGCTAGTGGTTGGTGCAAAGTGTACTGTACAGAATAAAAGATGAATAGATCTATTTCATTTTATCGAGGTGAAACAACTGGTAAAATGTTTCTCATCTGGGTTCTATCTAATAAATACAATCTTTAAAGTATATTCCTCTGATCTCACTGCTGAGACATCAGACCACCAAATCTTTGAAAGCTTGATTTGTTTAAGCATATCATAAAATGAAGTCTTTGACTTAGCTATGATCTAAATACAAGGAGGCAGTGAAGGACGGGAAGGCCTTGCACAATATGGTTCGTGGGGTCATGAAGAGTCGGACACAACTTAATGACTGAACAACAACAAACAGCAATATAATGATTGCATTACAAACATTAGAAAGAGCAATTTAGTTAAACATATCACCAAATGTATTCAGCTGTAATCTGTGTGAAAGTCAGGAATGTTTTTATTGATTATGAGCCTTCAAGTTGGCGTTGACTCTTTTCCTAAAATAATTATACATACAGAATTTATTCATTTTATTGCAGCCTTAAACCAGTACTGGAAGTGTGTCCATGCATGATCTGTGAGCACTTATAAATCTTATAAAACTTTTGGACTTTACTCATGAGTTCTAATCAGGTTGTTTTATGGATGTATTTTAAATTTTATTTACTGATTTCTTAAGATAAAGTCCAAAAGGAGCAATCTATGTCTAGGCTATAAATAAAAGTATCTAAAATTACATAGAATATGGTGACATCTAAAAATACAAAATGTGATATCATCTAAAATTTACGTGGAGTGTGATAGTATCTAAAATTGCACAAAATACAGCTGTGTAGCAGGAGCTTGGCCTATGAAGGTCCAGGGGATCTTACGCGCTGCTGTGCAAAACCCGGCCACGTCCGCTGTAATAAATGGCAGTTCGTCTGTAAGCAGCATCTGGGCAGAGGGTGAGCCTGAGCCATCAGGATCTCTGCTGGTCAGAGGGAGCGTAAATTGGTTCAAATGCCTCTGTAAAAGGAGCAACAAAGAAGAACATGTCCCGTGGCTTCCAGAATCACAGGCAGAGCCTTTCCGCCGATGCTACTTTTCCATATTTGCCTTCCAGCGCTGCAGAGGGGAGTGGCGAGAGAGGAAGCTTTCTGAGGGCTGAGTGTTCCTTGCTGGCAGCAGTGGCAACGTACCTGTGATGACAGGGAGGATGGGGCCTTCCCTAGATCTGCCCGATAGTTGGCATCTTTCATCCTCTGCTTCAGGGTTTGCTTTGCCTGATGGTATCCCAGCCTGAGAACCAAAGAGGAACCCAGATTAGATTTAATGCTTTAATCCAGGTAGATTGAAAGTTGTCCTGGAGAATTAATGGTGCTAAGCCTTAAACAATCTTAAAAAAAAAAAACCTTAAAAAATTTAGAAAAGAGACAACCCGCTAAAAAGACAAAGGAAGAAAAGAGTAGTAATAATGTTTATTCAGTCAATCATCAGCAAAAGGAAGAAAAGAAAAAGAAAAAAAATCTCTTATATTTTATGTTTATCAATAGTCACTAGTTTACGAATGAATACACTGCTATAATATGATCAATACAAAATATTGTTGTAAAATATTACAAAATCTCTGCCATACACCTACTGCTTTATCCTTTGATTAGTAGAAATATTGCCTTTTCTAAAACAGATAAATCACACATTTCCAACAACCATTCCTTGACATCTGGAATAATATCACTTCACCAATTTCTCAACATGATTTTTTTAGCCACCCCCTATGCTTGATGCAACCACAAATCCTGATAGTCAAATTCCAAAGCTTCGGTAAATAATTCAACATTACATTAACATCTTTAACATTTAAAGATTTTCCAATAAATCTATTAATATACATTAATACACTATCCCAAAAAGATACCAAGTATCTTGGTATGACATAACTATATCATATGGGTCAGTGAACCCTCAAATTTTTTACACCTTCAGCATGGAAAATCTAATGTCTATCATTTCAGATACACTCTTTGGAGAGTCCAGTACCCCCTAAATACAATTTTCTGATGAATCAACTTTAATCACGGATCTGTTGATACCATTTAAATATTTTTAAGGACATGAATCCGTTGATGAGTCTTTATTAGAGATTCCAGTTCTTTAGTACATGTTTGAAATATCCCAGAAATGTCTACCTTAAAAATATTGTTGAGCTTTTAATGGAGATCTGTTATAGGTTTTAATTCTGTGATGGATTCCATCAAGTAAGAGAGCAGCTCAGGTGCCTTTGAAGCTGCCAAAGTATCTGACCCATGTTGATCCATTAGAACAGTGTTGTCCAAACTTGGCCACTTTAAAATGAGTGGACTTCAACTCCCAGAATT